TATTATTATTATTATTATTGCCGAGGTGTATATTCTGAAAACACATCATTGCATGTGAAAATATTCTAAATCTGAGATTCTCACAGGTAGGGTGTTTCTCTTGTTAAATCTAGTGAGTGAGAAGATAACATTTCAAAGAGAGGTAGAATCCTAAGACAAGTGGCCAGCTTCCCCTGTAGCCAAACCAACTGAATGTGCTTGGCAAATGACTCTCATTGAGCAAATCAGTGTGGGTCAGTCATCCTAAAGTAATCTAAAAGAAGAGGGGATAGAAAAGCTGGTTCTGTTCTTCTTTATACATGACGGTGGAACAGAGATGTCCCCTCCAATACTTCCATTAATACTGGTGTTGAATCAATAATATTCCCATACACAGATCCTTATAATGAGTGATATGCATATAAACAGAAAGGTATAACTTTATGCAAGGATATTCATGAAAATTATTCAAGTTTGGTTCCAGAGGTAGGGGTAGAGGGCACAAGATATGATAAGCTGTGAAGGGTAGAACTAAAAAAATGGATAATCTTTGTCCTATATCATTCATTGATAGCAATTTCAAATGAAATACAATAATTAGAATATAATAATATGCATTTATTCTTGGGATGATTTTTCTTTTTTCTTTGTTATCTCCTAGGAATCTGCAGCTGTTAACGCTGTAAATGCCTTGCAGTCAGTTTATGGAATAAGATATCAATATGGTCCTGCCTCCAGAACTTTGTGTAAGTGTCTCTGACAAGTTGGCTTTTTTAAAAAATAATTTCTGTTGATGACTACTATAATAAAGCAGGCAGCAGGATTACTGGGAAAAGGTTTTAAAATACTCAAATTATACTAATATATTGAATGAAGAGCATAATGTAAATGCCAACTATAAATTACTCCGGAACCCTGAGTGGTAGCTGTGCATTTAGCCTTTCCAGAAGCATTTTGTATCAATATGTAACGAGGAGCACAGGTTGATGCTGGGAAGATGAAGCAAGTAATTAGTATAGAATTGCAGTTCTTATATTCAGTAAATAGATGTGTGGGAAGAATCTTTTTTTTTTTCCAGTCTTCCACAAACTGAGTGCTACTATTTCTATGCAAAAGGAATGTTTAAGGCTAAAATTCCATGTATGTTTACCTGGGACTCAAAACAGACATGGTTGGATTGTACAATTTAGTGGACGAAAGCTTCTCTTTTAAATTAGTGCTCCTTTTTGCTTTCTTTGACCTAGCCTTACAAAAGGATATTTGAAAGCCTTGAGTGCAATCCATAGAAACATCCAAAAGTTGTTACCAAACTGCAGATTTGTGATGTGTATGAAGAAGAATATTATTAAATATGTGACTGGAGAGTAATCAGATTATATTTACATGTAAATGAAATGAACTTGTATTTATTTTTGTCCTTGCCCCAACAATGAATATTTGAAATGTGACCTTCAGCAAGCTGGTCAAAGACTAAGTATAGTCCTTGGTTCAGAATCTTACTTGGAGTGTTGCTGTAGCTACCTCTGTTTTTGAACAAGACTATACATCTGTAAAACTGTATGTGAAGAGCAGGAGTAATGAAACTTATTGGATTGAAGTTAAACTAAAAATTGCTTCTTTCTGGCATATGGGTTGAGGACACTTAGGGTTTTTTCGTCTTTCTTTTAAAAATGCAACTTAAATATGACCTTTGGATACTAGTACAGATGAGAAAGCCACATGTGACACTCTCAGTGCCGCATTTGCAGCCTTCTAACAACCTTGCAATTCAGTGCCAAAGTAATCAAATTTTGACAGATCATTGTTTTCCCCAAAATTAAGAATGAGCGGGAGGTCTCTGGGAAGCTTCTCACTCCATTCCACATTTGCTCCAAGGCAAATACTTCAGGCTGTTTTACAGGGTTTGGGGAATTAAGGATGGGTATGAGAGTGGAAGGCTTTTCAAGATGATGATGATGATGATGATGATGATGATGATGATGATGACAGATTAAGAAGCTCTGCTCTTTCCAGTGCAGTCACCCCACTACTTGAGGGCTCTTACAGAAGATTGGGAAGCTGAGCTCACCCATCAAATGTTGCAGATCCTTGTACTAGCATATTGTTTCCTAAACCGCACATAAAATGTTTTCTTTTTTTTTTATTTCCAGATATGAGTTCTGGGAGTTCAATGGATTGGGCCTATAAAAATGGAATCCCCTATTCATTTGCCTTTGAACTGCGTGATACAGGTCATTTTGGATTTTTATTGCCTGAGACCCTAATCAAGCCAACCTGTACAGAAACCATGCTAGCTGTTAAAAATATAACCATGCACCTCCTAAAAAAGTGTCATTAAGAGTTGCAGCCAAGTGTTAATTTTTTAAATTGTTCTTAAAATATAGTGTTGAGTCAATCAGTCAGATGTAGAATATGGCATTTCCCACTAGTGGAACCCATTGAGGAAAAAAAGTGACATTTTCTACAAGTAAGATATTCAAATCTGTGATACATATTGTGGGCCAAGCATATCCCGGCATCAGGATACATGAAGGCAGAAATCCTTGATTATATCTGAATGATTATTGATGAAATTATGAAGACTGGAAATGAGAAAAGGTCTAAAGCAAAATTTAAAGTGAGAAGGGGACACCAAGTTTTAATTCAAGCTCATGTCTAGCAAGAAAAGGGATAAATTATGCTAAATTGTTTTTCAAATGTGCTTTATTTGCATAGTTTATACAACCCATGAATATCAGCTTGGCCCAAAGAAGAATCAGAATTATCTTGGCTCAAAATGTTGATTTTTAAACCACAGACAGTTGGGTATAGATCAAATATATACAACCTAAGCTAAATCTTCTGGGATAATAAAGCTATGTTATTTCCAACCTCCAGAGTCAAGATCATTTTTTTCTTTTTGGAAAAAAATACATTATGCAGCAAAAACATTGACAAGACCTGTGCATTAACCTCATGGGAAGAATATCCTGAGAATAGAGGAAGGACCTTTGTCTATATTCTTTTTTCCTGTATGAATATCACCAAAGAGCTACATTCCAAAATTAACCTTAAGATTGCAAACATCCTGATGGAATAATGTCCTGTTCTATCTTATCTATTGCATTCATTATATGCTCTATTTTCTCATGCCCAAATTGTAGAGGAATAATAGCATTTATTTTTACCATTGTGCTTTGAACCCTAGGGAACCTATTTCATTTAGATTATATTTTAGAATTCTCTTTCATAGCTAGAGATTGAATAACCTTTATTGCTATCACCTTGGAAATGTCAGTATGAGGTCATTTGATTCAGAGTAGAAAATGGATAGCATAAGATGTAATCAAAGGGTCAACTCACCCAATAAGTATAGCATTTCCCCAGGCACAGTGAAATGGAAGATCTACCGCTATGTGGAAAATAAGTAAATAACAGCCAAAGCAGACAAGCTCAGGTAAGCTTCCAGGCAATCTCAACATACAATGAATTGCTCTGAAACCAGGCCAGAATCAGTTATTATATAAATAGCTGGATAGGAACTAATTGGCTTCTCAGATCACATAATATTGATGTGCTGAAAAATTGTAAAGTATTTGTCATTTGCAGCATGGCACTGCATGGCTGCAGAAATCATAACAGCTCTCCCTGCAAGATACCAAGTGATGAAGAAAGCAAGGCATACTTGTCAGACTTGCTGGGTTTTGATCATGTATCACTTTCTAAGTACAGTATATATATAGCATGCAAGTACTGGCTATCTTATACTAAGTATGTACAATAATGGACAGCTATATAAATTGAAAAAATAAATGCCTATTCATACATACTCTACCTCCTAAAATGGCAACATGGATGCTATGCTAAAGGTAAACTCTGCATGCAAAAGAACACTCCACATAGTAAATATGCATTTTGGCATTGTGCATCTGATAGGTTGTACATGGTTAATCTTTTTAGATTTGGTACATATGCAGCTGTAAAAACAGTGTTCAATTTTGAATATAAACAAAATTAATCTGTTGATGACCAGGGTTGATTTGGCTGATGAAGCTATCAGGTAGGTGTTCCTTACTGCACTCTTCCATGTTTATTCTCCTGAGATGCATGCTTGGTGGAAGTGGACAACCATTTCAGATATAAATATTATATGAAGAATGATCAAGAATATATAACTGTACTCCTGTGCTAGAACCTTCAAACAAACTCAACAACAATCACCTTTTCATTTATAGATGACTGTTACTAATTGACCAGTATACTGTATTTATGTTTGCGCATAAGGCTAAGTATAAATATAAAAATTGGGACTACTTCCTATCTTGGCATTTTGTCTGGTAACACCTAGTGAGATTGATATTAGAGAATTTTTCAGTTATAGTTCTCTGAAAATATAGATGCCACTCAAGATTAGCTGTTACTTGGGAGACTCTTCACTTGGAAAATTAACCTTTTTTTAATGCCTATACAATACTAGGCTTTTCTTCCTTTTATTTCTTGTCTAGTTAGCTTCTCCCTTCCCCCATCTGATTTTATTTCCCCCTTTTCTTTTTCCTTCCCAGTGCAGTTACTGCCACCCCTTGCCTCCATTTGTTTATTTTTTTCCTTATTTTTTGCTGTTTCTACTGGAAAGAGGAGGGAAATGTATCTATGTATATAAGTAATTTCTGTGTGAGAACTCTAGGTTGGTAAGATGGGGAAAGTAGTTGTAAAAGATTTTTATCTATAGGTATGCATGTGACAGATGAGAGATGAGACAGAGAGTAATCTATTCTTACTTTTGAAGGGAAAGTAATCTTAAATTCAGGATCACTTCCTTTTGGATATCTGCAGTTAAAACATACTATTATTTCCACATATCTCTGTGTGTAAGTAGAACATGTTTCCCATAAAGTACATAATGCACATGAAGGAGCAGAATGGCTTATGGTCTGGCTATGGCATAAAGTGATGCCATATGCTACATCTTTAGAATGGCAGGCTAGTTTTGCATATCTTTATATATAAAACTGTTATAAGACATGATTGGGATTTACACTGTAACAACATAGGCAAACCACAGACTGCATATAGCTTCCGGCACCTTTTTGTAGCCCCTCGCCTCCATCACTCCCAAAGAGACCCTAAAGAATTGGGGCAAATTCTTGGTATCCTCTGCTGGCTCTGGGAGACCAAAACACTTAAAGTACAGGTCTGGCCACCAGAAAGTTGCCCACCCCTGCACTAGAATTACAGGCTATGTCTCTTATTGGACATATAGCACACTTGTCAAAAAAATTGCCAGCACTGAGGAGGATCAAAGTTATCAATGGCTACTAGTCCTGGTGGAGACTAATATTCTATTGTAATATATTGCCACCAGGGTCAGGATCTATGCTTCTGAATACTAGTTGCTGGGGAACCAAAGCAAAAGTGTCTTATTGGCTGTTGTCGTACTTGTGAGCTTCCTAGAACCATCTGGTTAGCCACTGTGAGAACAGAATGCTGAACTAGATAAGCCTTTGATCTGACATCACAGTTTATCTTAATTCATTTTCTATTACGCACCAGATGAGGATGTGGTCTGTAAATGTGATTTTAAATGTTACTAGATGGAAAATTAATTACTACTGCAAGAAAGAAGTGGTATAAATACCATGTGTGATTATGATGCAGATTCAAAACATTTTCATGCTTTCTCAGGATCTCACATAATTTTAAAATGATTGGGGCATCAGACTTATATCTGCATATCTGAGAGCAGGTTCCCTTAATTCAGTAGAATTTAGATATGAAAGTGATTAAAATACATTAACGTTATCTTAAAAGGTTTTAGAACAGTGGAACAATGCAACTGTAAAGAAATATGTATTTTCAGTTCAGCAAACAATACACCATTTAAACTAGGAGCTCCTTTTCCAGAACAGGGTAAAATGTGCAACTGCATGGGTCTTCAGTATTTCTTTCATATCTTTAGTATTCCTACTCTTAATATTTATTATTTTCTCCACCCTTATTGTGTCTGCAGATAGTCGTCCAGTGACCCTATTTCGGGTGACTCTCCCTCCTAGGAGGGAATAATACTGAAGGTATGGGGTTGCTGTGAGGAATATGCTGGACATCTGGCGGATAAAATTATTTGCATTTGCTCTATGTTGGAACCCAGTCTTGGGGCAGATCTGGTGAAAGTTACAGGGGCTTTGTCTAGCTCAGTTATCTGGGAGGAGTTTGAGCCTGTTGAGCCTGAGGAAGTGGACAGGGCCCTTGCAACTGCTACCTCAGCCACTTGTATCTTAGATCTGTGCCCCTCCTGGCTTGTTAAAGCTGCATGGGAGGGGACACATGGTTCGGTATGGCAGTAGTCAATTCATCATTAAAGGAGGGAGTGGTTCCACCAGCTCTTAAAGAGGCTGTGGTGTACCCCCTCCTTAAAGGGCCTTTGCTTGACCCAACTGATCTGGACAACTTTCATCCAGTTTCCAACCTCCCCTTTTTAGGGAAGGTGGTAGAGAGAGTGGTAGTGTGGCAGTTGCAGAGGACTCTGGATGAAGTAGATTATCTGGACCCCTTTCAGTCAGGGTTCAGGCCGGTGTTTGGAACTGAAACAGCATTGATCGCGCTCTTGGATGACCTCTGGCTAGAGCGGGATGGGGGTAGTGCATCCATCCTTGCTCTTTTTTATCTCTCAGTGGCATTCAATACCATCGATCATGGTATCCTTCTGAATTGGTTTTGGGAGTTGGGGGTAGGCGGCACTGTGCTCTCCTGGTTTTCCTCTTTCCTCGGGTTGATTTCAGTCAGTACTGATGGGGGGAGAAATCCAGCCCACAGCCCGTGGTCTGGAGTACCTCAGGGCTTGGTCCTCTCTCCTCTCCTATTTAACATCTACATCATTGGTTCTCAATGTGGGCGGGACCACCC